GACAGCCAGTCTACGGTCTCCGCCAGGCACCGCGTGAGTGGCACGACACACTGAGGACTACGCTTGCGGCTCTTGGGTTTGCTCCCTCTACTGCTGACCCATCGCTGTTTCTGCGCACCGACACTTCTCTGCCGCCGTTCTACATCCTCGTGTACGTCGATGACTTGGTCTTTGCCACTGCTGACACTGCTGGACTCGCCTACGTGAAGTCTGAGCTGCTGAAGAGACACACGTGCACAGACTTGGGTGAACTGCGCAGCTACCTTGGCTTGCAGTTCACTGGGGACAGAGCACACCGCACCATTACCTTGACTCAGTCACACATGGTGCAGCAGGTCCTTCAGCGCTTCGGCTTCACGTACTCCTCGCCTCAAGCCACTCCTCTGGCTACTCGCCACTCGCTCTCAGCTCTGCCTTCGGATGAGTCCGTAGAGCCGAGTGGCCCGTACCCGGAGCTTGTTGGCTGCCTCATGTACCTGATGACCTGCACACGACCTGACCTTGCATACCCTCTTAGCATTCTTGCACACTATGTTGCTCCTGGGAGACACCGACCAGAGCACATGGCTGCAGCGAAGAGGGTGTTGCGCTACCTGTGCAGTACGTCGGGCATGGGGCTAGTGCTTGGAGGGCGGAGTCCAGTGGTCCTCACTGGTCACGCGGACGCTTCTTGGGCTGACGGCCAGGCTACGCAGCGGTCGTCGCAGGGGTACACCTTCAGTCTTGGTTCTGGCTCTTTCTCTTGGAGGGCTACTCGCTCGTCTTCTGTTCTCGGCTCCAGTTGTGAGGCTGAGATCTACGCCGGGGCCGTGGCTGCACAGGAGCTTCGCTCGCTCACCTACCTGCTGACTGACCTAGGAGAGCCGCCTCGTTCTCCTCCAGTGCTGTACGTAGACAACAAGGCCATGCTTGCCTTGTGTCGAGAGCAGCGCTTGGAGCACAAAACGAAGCACATTGCTCTCCGCTACTTCCTTGCTCGTGAGCTGCAATAGCTTGGTCAGTTGCGACTTGCGTACGTGGCCTCTGAGGCCAACACTGCTGATGTTTTCACCAAGGCACTTCCGCCTTGTGATCATCAGCGCTTCTGCACTCAGCTGGGACTTGTACCTGTCTTACCTCACGTGCTTACCTCTTGACCTTGTCTGTACTCGTGCATATATATATACCTGCTCTTGCTTGTTTAGCCTTATATATATATATGCCTTCTCTTGCATGTGAACTGGCCTCTTGGCCTTGACCTTGTGCTCGGACTGTGTGGTGACTTTGTGATCCACCCTGAGCTTTGCTTTGCTTTGCTAGACTGGTTTTGTGACCCCTTGTTCTCCCCCACTTTGCCTATGGGTGTGTGTCAGACTTATATGACATAGTTGCTGTAGGCTATAGTGGGGTAGCACATATGGGGTACAGGTTTCTAGGGTTGTATTTGTACCCAATCTTTCCTTAGTCATTTCATTCCTGTTCTTCAAACTCTCACATGAAGCTAGGCGCGCGCCGCAGCCAGATCTCCTCGTGTAGACTGCCCTCTAAGAAGGTTGTGCTAATGTGCAGAGAGTGAATCTCGTAGTCACGCTAAGCGGCAACGTGCAGCAGTACCCGAAGAGTGGTCATCTTTGGGGTGGGGGAGAAATTTTGGAAGAAGTCAACTCCCTGTCGCTGACTAAAGCCTCGTGCAACGTAACGAGCCTTGAAGACAGGCGAAGAACCTGGCCGCCGCTTCACCCTGAAAATCCACATGCCATCGACGATGTTCCCCCCAGGAGGGGGAACCTCATCAACGCAAGTGGTTGTGGACTTGGAGGATGCCATCTCTGCGTCCATGGCTGACTGCCACTGAGAGGAGTAGGGACTCGCGATCGCCTCAGCGTAAGATCGCGAAGTGGGGATGTCTGGTGCATCCGGGTCTCCCTCAGGGGCAAGCAGCATGGCCACGAGATAAGGTACAGCAGCCGCAAGACACTGAAGGTCTTCTTGCCTGTCCTCAAGGACGTCCGTGCCAAGAGCACACTCACGTCCGATGGAGGGAGGATAGACGGACTCAAACTTAGCAACAAGACTAGCAGCGTAGTCTAGTCAACAGGTAGCAGCAAAGTCAATAAGCTCATCGACTAAGGCAAATGCAGTTGTGAACTCAAACGAAGGGTCAGCGACAACAGTGGCAAGCAGACGCATAACAGTAGGGTGAGTAGCGCGAACGCGGTCTGACTTAGGGTCAGGAACGACCGGCAGAGAAGACGTAGGAGGGGACGGCAAGGGAACACGTTGTGGAGCAGAGGAAGGACGAAGAGCCATGAGATGCGTGCCGGGGACAGCCGGCGGACGCTCTCGAGGAACACGACGACCAGTACGACCAGTGCAGACGTTGCGAGCAGGCAAGACAGGACGAGACGCAGGCTCACGTCGCTTAGTAAGACCTCCTGTTTGCTCAGTGTAAGGAGAAGGAGCAGGCAGCGGTGAGCCAGGCTATAACGGAAGAACAGTAGAAGACGGGAGGCTAAGAACCTGGCGAAGCACTAAGTCAGGCGGTGGCAGGAACGACGATGACGACGGAGCAAAGAACAGTCACGGCTGTGCAGGGTCACCAGCACTAGTAGCTCCATCACCTCCAGCACCAGCGCCTCCAGGACCAGTAACTCCATCACCTCCAGCACCAGTGCTTCCAGCGCCAGCACCCCTAGCACCAGCACCTCTTGCAGCTCCAGAACCTCCAGCTCCAGCGCCTCTAGCGCCAGCACCACCAATAGCCCCAGAACCTCCAGCGCTAGTACCTCCAGTACCAGCGCCACCAGCAGCAACACCCCCAGAACCGGCATTACCACCAGCCCCAGCAGCTCCGGTACCTCCACTACGAGCACCTCCGAGACCAGCGGCTCCAGTAACTCCAATAGAAGCGCCTCCAGGAGCTAAGTCACCGGCTCCAGTGTCTCCAATGCCAGCGCCGACAGCAGGAGGCCCCAACTACAGCGGCTCGACCCTGCCGGCTAACGTACCACTCACGTAGCTGCTGTGGGGAGAGCGGGAGATGCCGATGAGAGTGCTGCGGCGAGGCACCAGTGGAACGACTACGGAGGCGGCTGCTCCAAGGAGACTGCACACCAGGCACCTCAGCGCCCCCAAGCGCAGCACCCCCAGACTCAATACCCCCAGGCGCAGTACCCCCAGACTCAGTACCCCCAGGCTCAGCACCCCCAGGCTCCTCACCCCCTGGCTCTGCACCCCTAGGCTCCGCACCCCCACGCTCCGCACCCCTAGGCTCCGCACCCCCAGGCTCGACACCCCTAGGCTCCGCACCCTGAGGCTCAGCACCCACAAAAGCAGCACCCCAAGCAGCACCAACCCCAGCAGGACCTGAGTCACTAGTGACCTCAACCGGCTCAGTCAAGGGAGGGTCTATCTGAGACACACATGAAGGAGCACGACCTGTACCGGGGAGAAGGTCTACCTGGGGAGGACCTGGGGCAAGAAAGAGCGGCGGGGGGGGGAGAGAGGCAGTGCGGTAGGGAAAGAGACGGTAAAAGGGGATTGACTCATCAAAGGTGACGTCCTGAGACGCAAATACGCGGTGCAAAGTGGGGTCGTAAAACTGCCAGCTTGACGCGTCATGGGGGGAGCCAAGGAAGCCGCAGGGGATGGCACAAGGGCTTGTCCGCAATGGTATCGCGGACAAAGGCATGAGCACCCCAGACCCGGAAACGTGACGCATCGCCAACCTCCCCGGTCTAACGCTATGTGGGCAAAGTCTCCGGCACGGAGACACGGTTCCAGAGGTTGAGCTGATGCGCACCGTACCGGACTGCAAACGGCCACAGAAAATGGGGGCACCCGCATGGATCATGGAGGTACGAGCGACCTCCATGACTAAGCCAATGCAGCACTCAGCAACCCTATTCTGCTGCGAAGAGGCCGGAAGCGTGAACGTCTGGCGGATGCCGTGCTCCTCATAGTAGGCTCGCAAGAGGTCGGAGGTGAACTCACCACCTCTGTCGGAGTGCAGGCGTGGGACAGGAAAGTCCGAGTGGAACCGCTCGCGGAGCTGGAGACGAACATTGCGGATCCAAGGGATCAATACATCAGGGACATCCCCCTTGCGCTGCAAGGGGAAGACTGTGGTGTAACACATGAAGTCGTTGACTACCAGCCGGAAGTACCGCTCATGGCCCGGTCCATGGACGCGGGATGGGTCCAATACGTCAAGGTAGAGAGTCTTCAGTGGAGCCTCTGTGGGAGGGAACGAGGAGAATTGAGGAGCGGCGCGGTGCCACCCCTCGACGCAAGGAATGCAGGGCGGAGCAGGTGAGGGAGGGAGGGAGGGCAGAGACCAAGGAAGACCAGAGACCAGGAAGCGAGAGTGCATGCCACGAAGGCGAGGCAGGGAGGGGTGACCAAGGCGGTGGTGCCACAGGAGAGTCAGGTGCGACAAGCTGCGACACTCACACCAGGTAGCTACCTGTGCGGACGCGTACAGCCAAGGAGACAAAGGGGTGGGGCGCAACGCAGTGGTGAGGGTGTACAGACTGGACCCAGGCACACGGGTGAACGTGGCCAGGTGGCGGCCGGTCCGAGAGCACGTGCAGATCGCCACACGCTGTCCTCCAGGAGTAAAGGTGTCAACCCAGTGATCCTGAAGGACGGCGGTGCTCACCAGGTTTGTAGAGAACGAGGGGAGGTGGAGACCAGACAGCTCACCAGACGGGACCGCCGGACACGGAAGCACAGTAGTGGTCCGTGCTAGCACTAGGCCCCCAGAGGGGTCAGCCAGTGAGACAGGGACAGGTGCAGGGAGGGGAGTGACTGTGGTGCTATCGCGAAAGAAACAGCGGGAAGCACCAGAATCAAGTGTAAAGGTGTGCAAAGCCTGAGCGAACGATATAGGGGCAGGGAACAGGACCCTCACACGCCCCATGCTGAGCATACCAGTCATGAAGCTGCTGAGGGGAGGGGGTCTGCTGCTGACGCTGCTGCTGCTGTCCCTGGCAACCACTGGAGCTCCCTTTCTAGCCGGATCAACTCCAGCCCCCACCACCGCTGCCACCACCGCTCCCTCCTCCCCCACTACCGCCGCTGCCACCCCCACCGCTCCCAATGCCACCGCCGCCCCCACCACCACCTCCACCCCCACGACCACCCCCACCACCTCCACCTCCACCTCCCCGACCGCCTCCACCACCGCCCCCTCCACTGCCACCCCCACCTCCCCTGCCACCCTTGCCACCCCTGGCGCTGCGGTGCTTCCCAATAGGAGCGGAAGCAGCCCTGGACCTCCTCAGCACCGAAAGTGAGCGTTGTTAGTGCGAAGGTGAGAGATAAGGTCATCAGCAGTGGTGAACGAGGACAGGTCGTGGAACAGGTAGGGTAGCATAAGGCGACCTAGGGCTGCAGTGGCCGAGGAAGAGTAGCGGGCAACTACAGTGTCATACAGTGCCTTTGCAATCTTGTGCTGGCTAAAATGCACGCGCTCTGTGATTGACAGGTGGTTGCGAATAGCGAGGCGCACAGCAGCATCGCGGGTTTGCCACTGTGATTGGTCGAGAGCAGTTGCAGTGTCAGCAAGAGGAACGGTAGTGCCAAACGCGTGATCGAACAGTGAAACACCGTCCTTGGCATCAGTCATAAGAAACAGTTGCAGGTCGTCGAGCCAGGCGGCTAACTCTATCGGGCAACCGTCAGGATTTGTTACAATCCCAAGGGGGACTTAGTGAAGGATCGCTCAGGGTTGATCGCAGAGTGGTGTTGCGGCGGAAGCTTGAATCTCAAGTCAGAGTGAATGTAAATCACTGAGTTGATAAAAGCATGCATACATCTAGTTTATATAAGAGTACAGGGGAATACGAAAGGACCTAGGCTAGCCATGTACTCTAAGGGGTACATTCCCTTATAGCAGCGAGAAATTCAAACCGTGCGGCGCAGGAACCCGTTTCAAACCTGTTCCCGCTCTTTCCACTTCAAGTGTTTCTGCTTGCATCGGTCTTGGTCAGACGGTTGCTGTGTCGCTTCGATTTTTCTGACTCTTCGACTTCGTACTTGGTAGAGTCGGCTCCTGCAGCATACAGGAATGCCTTCTCACAAAACTTCATATCGTAACACTCCCCTTCATTCCTGGGCGCAGGAGGAGCTGACTCGCTTGACCACTCCAGTGAGGTCAGAGCAGCGCTTGTACTGCTAACGTGGCAGATGCTTGGTGAGGGAGTCTGCTGCCATCTCGGTAGTCGGGTAGTAGGCGAGGTCAACTTTTCCCTGGTTGATTTCGTCCTTCACAAAAAAATACCGAAGCGCGATGTGCTTCATGCGGTTCACGAAACCTGGCTTGTTCGCGATCCTGATGGCACTCTGGTTGTTGCAGTGAAGGCAAAAGGTGGGCGAGGCTGGAGTTTTCGCCTCCGATAACAGCTCCTGCAGGTACAGGCCTTTGCGAACTGTTGCTGTCGCGGCGATGTATTCTCCTTCAGCCGATGACAGAGCAACCAGCTCCTGCTTCTCTGAGTTCCAAGAAATTGGTCCTAATGGTTCCAATGAAGCCGGTTCGGGACCGTCGATTGTCAGGATCAGCGGCATGATCTGCGTCCACGTAGTCGTTGAGGTTGAAGGAGGTCGTTATCAGCGTGGAGTAGGAGAGCCCAATGTCAGGTGTGGAAACGAAGTACTGCAGGGCGCACTCCAGGTCTAGCTGGTTCTCAGCTACTGGCTTGCGGGAGTACTGTGCCAGTTGGCTGGCGATGTACGAAAGGTCGGGTCGGCAGGTGATAGAGGCGAATAGTAGGCACCCCAATTTCTGCTGGTACATTTGGAGTCCTACGGGCGACAGGGGTTTGTTGTCCGGTTTGTAGTTGGTGCTGGGGTTGCGGTAAGGAGTTGAGAGTGGTGCGGGCGAAATGTTGAAGCGTTCCCCCAGCTGCTCTCTGTACTTGGAGGCTGACAAGTGAATTGCTTCTGGCGCGTAGGTGATGTTCAGGCCCATAAATTGTTTCCCACTGTGGTTGATGGTGATGTCAACGCGCTGCGCCAGGCTCTTCTCAAACTAATTGAGGAGCTTGTTGCAGGTGCCCGTGTATAGCAGATCGTCGACGTGAACTGTCACGAAGATGTAGTCGCCACTGAAGTGAATACGATACATTCCCGGGTCGTGTGGCAGCTGCTTGAAACCGATTTCGAGAAGGAACTTGTGCAGATGTTGCTGCCAGAGACGAGGCGCTGGCTTGATCCCATAGAGGGATTTCTTTAGCTGACAGACCCTAGAGTCCCATTCTCCGTAGGTGTGAGGCTGCTCCACAAAAATGGTAGCGTCCACTAACGCGTATAAGAACGCGTTCTTCACATCGATCTGACACTGTGGTGGGTGCTTAGCGGCGGCAATGACAAGTAGTACGGACGGAGGTGTGATGACTGACGGGAGCGAAAGTCTGGTCGAAGTCGATGCCGTGTCACTGATCGTACCCGCGTACGACCCAGCGTGCCTTGAATCGTTCGATGGGGCCGTCACCGTTAGTCTTCAAGCGAAAAAACCCATTTTCCACTCAGTACTCTCCTCCCCTTCACTGCTGCATGATCGACGAGGACCCATGTGTCTCGAGACTCCAGTGCCTTTAGTTCCGCGTCCATCGCGGCACGCCACTCCTTGGCGTGAGGGCGGTTAGGGCCTGACAAGGTTTCTTTGGCTCCACGGCTTGTGCGAGTGTGGTGACAGACGTGTGTAGGCCGAGAAGTTGTAGGCCGGACACATTGGTGGTGTCTATGTTGGTAGAGACTTCCACCATGTCGTCATCTCCACTTTCGTAGCCGGATGCAGCGGTGCTTGGCTTTGCTTGGCGTCGTGACGGCCCTCGCGCAGGGTCATCATCACTGTCATCGTCGTCATCGTCGCGCGGGCAAGGCGGCATGTTGGGGTGTTTGTCGGTGTCATCGCGGTCCAGTGCTGCTGCTGCTGCTTCGTCTTCTGGAGTCGCAAAGCTGCGACCGCTATTGACGTAGTCGCATGCCTGGTTGCGACGCTCATCCTCGATCCATTGCTTTAAGGTGAGCCGCTCGTAGAAGAGAATGTCACGCGCAGGAACGATCTCCTTGCTGTCAATGTCAAGAATAAGCCACCCTTTGTGCTCATGACTGAGCCCAAGATAAATTCCCTAGCGCGCGCGATGAACGAACTTGCCGATTGTGGCCGAGGTCGGCCGGTATTGCACCATGCACCCCCAAACCCTCAGCATGGAGGGATCTCCCCTTGAGCCGGTCCACTTTATGTGAGGGGACAAGTTGTCCTTGTTGGCGGTGGTGGAGAGGAGGTTGTGCAGGCGCACCGCGTGGTTCATGGCGTAGGGCCAAAACTTCTTTGGCAGGCCGGACTTGTTCATGAGGGCGCGGACTTTTGTCATGAGTGTGCGGTTGACCCTCTCTGCGACGCCTTGCTGCTGGTGAGCGTAGGGGAGAGAGATCTCATGTTTGATCCCTTTCTCGGTGAGGACACTCTCCAGTTCGTTGCTGCAAAATTCCTTGGCCCCGTCACTCTGCCAAATCTTCAGCTTCCTTCCTGACTGCCGCTGCGCGTGCGCGAGGAAGATGCGGAACACTTCCGGAGCCTTGGAGCGAGCGTCGACATTAGCGATTCACACGTGGCGCGAGTAAGCGTCGATGAAGGTCAGCGTGTATTTTTTGCCGTTGAGTCTGTCGCAGGTGAGCACGATGAAGTCATTGTACACCTTCTCCAGCTTCTTGTAACGGTTGGTGCTAGGCTCCAGAGAGGGGTAGGCGTTGCGGGAGAGCGTAGCTGTGGGGCAGACAGTGCAAGTGATCGGGTGAGGGGTGTTGTGTGGTTCTGTTCCGTCGCGGCGTAGCAGTGCTCCTGGTGGGAAAACTTTAGCGCTGAGGCAGTTGGCGAGGGTTTGGCGCGAGGGGTGCCCCAGTCGCTGATGCCAGAGGTCTTCGTCGGCGAGAATGTCGGAGGTGCGTATATAACGTGCGTAGTTTTCCGCTACTTCTTCTTCGGTAAGTTGCGGGATCTGGAGTGGGGGTTCTTCCTCTTCTCCTAGTTCTGCTTCGTTGTCCGGCTCCTCTGCTTCTGCTTTTGCTGTTGTCTCCCCTTCTGCAGGTGCCGTTGTGAGATAGAGGGCGAGAAATTCACGGTCGGGGATGACGGTGAGCGGGATCATGGTGCCTTCAATGAAGCGAGCGAACGGATCTGGGCGATAGATTGGACCAAGTGAGTCCCGCGGAGGAGTTGGTGGTGTATTCCCCTCCTCAATCTCCGACCAGTGATCACTCCAGCGGTGAGGTGAGCGAGGTTGTTTGCGGGTGCGTGGGGGTCGGCCAAGAGGAATGGCAACGTGTGGTGATTCTTCTCCGCGCTCAGCTTTCATCTCTCGTTCAGCTTCCTCCAGTTCTTGTGTGAGCTCCCCTTCTTATGGCTCTATTGTTTCCCATCCTCCCGTGGTGACCGTGCCGCTTGTGCTAGCTCCCCATGCGCTAGTGGCGGATGCTCAGGTTGCGTCGCCTTCCGGTTCGAAATCCTCATCTCCCCATGCTCCTCGTCGAGCTGATTCTTCGTCCCATCCTGCCGCGATACGCTCCTCATACGGCTTTTGTTTCTTTTCTGCCCGGGCCTTATCCTTTTCTTCCTAGACGCTCAGCTCCCCTTTGTCAAAACATATGCATATCATTATCTAGGCTATATTGGGGATAGCCTTAGGGGGTACAGAAACTTTCTCGACACTCTAGTCTTGTACCCAAACCTTGACCTAATCTCATCATCCTTGCCTTAGTTTTAACATGGTAACTAGAGCAGGAGGTCTCTAGGACCTAAGAATCGGGCCCACTTAACAGCCTGCCTTGCCTACTGCCCGCGCGCGCCTCGTCTGCAGCGCGCGTCACTTTTTTTTCGCGCGCGCCTTGACTGCTAGCGCGCGCGTCACTGTCTTTAGCGCGCGCCAATGTTGTAGTGCCGGGTGCCGTCCCGCCTCGCCCGCGCAGCCCGCATAGAGCCCGCGCAGCCCGCCGTCGCCTCGCGCGCCGCGTGTGTCGCCAGCGTGGCCCGCCGCTGCGCCGCGCGTTGCGTCGGCCGCTTGCGCGGCCCGTTGCTGCTTAGCGCGCTGCTTTAGGAGCTCGGGTGCGGCCACTCATGCCTGCTGCCTGCTGTCTCCTGCCTGCTGCCTGCTGTATCTTGCCTACTACCTGCTGCCTCTGTCTTTGCTTGTGGCCTGGCGCCTGCTGCCTCTTGTCTGCTGCCTGCTGTCTCCTGCCTCTGCCTACTACCATTATGACGACGCCAAACGTTCTCGCGTTCGAGCCTGACCGTCGCCCCATAGCGTTCGTTGTGTGGTTAGATGATCTCCAACTGTTTCTTCTGACCGATGTCAAAGAGAGCGTTTCACTGTT